CACAGAGAAGCATCCACGTGGAGGCGACGACGGATCCACCTCGACATTACGACATCTCTTTATATACCCTCCTAGTTTGTGTGAGCGGAACGGCTTTAGCTGGTAGGTACTGCCTCTATTTCAGTTATTCTGGTGTACAGTGTGAGGTAAAATCTAATCAAATTCTTGTTCAGTATATCATACACACACACACACACACACACACACACACACACACACACACACACACACACACACACACACACACACACACACACACACAGCAAAGAAACTGACCATAATGAGGAGGGAAACAGGAGGGAACTGACCAAAATGTTGAAAAGGTTTTCAGGCTTGGAAAGTTCAACAAGGACAGGGACCGAATGATAAAGGTGGTATTCATGAGCGAAATCACGAAAGAGGAACTGTTAGCAAGGAAGAGCGGTCTAGAAAATGTTCCGAAGTTCAAAAAAGTATTCCTGCAGAGGGATATGACAAGGGAAGAGAGAATACTGGCAGCAGATGCGAGGAAGGAGCGCAGGGAGAGAGAAAGGATTCAGAGTACCACAACCTGGAACCCTACAATCCCAGAGGGAAGTGGAGAACCCTCCTCAAACAGTGCAACAGCCACAGGGATTGGGGCACCACCCCCACATTCTACCCAAAAGACACCCAACCTGCCCCATCCCCTGTCAGCCCCCCCCCTAAGTACCCACCTAGGGCTCCCACCCCCTACCCACCCACCCTCCTCCCACTCACCCACCCTCCTCCCACTCACCCCCCTCCTCCCACTCACCCCTCTCCCCAGGACCTCCCTTCTCCCCCATCCCCCAAGCCCTCCCCTCTCCCACATGCCTTCCCGTTTCTCCCCACCCCAAGCCCTCCCTTCTCCCCCCCGCCCCCTAAGCCCCTCACTCTCCCCCACCCCACCTAAGTCTTCCCCTCTCTACCACTCCCCTAAACCCTCCCCTCTTCCTCACCCACCTCAGCCCTCCTTTTTCCCTCATGCCCCCCAAGCCCTCCACCCTTTTCTCTCCCCCCAAGCCCCCCCATCTCCCCTATCCCCCAAAGCCTCTCCTCCCCCCATGGTCCCCCAACCCTCCCTCTCTCACCCCCCCCCCAACCCTCCCCCTCTCACTCTCCCCCCCAACCCTCACCCTCTCCCTCTCCCCCCTACCCTCCCCCTCTTACCCATCCCCTTACCCTCACCCTCTCACTCTCCCCCCTACCCTCCCCTCTTACCCATCCCCTTACCCTCCCCCTCCCCCCCCCCCCAAGCTCTCCCTCTTCCACCAGTCTACCTGTGCCAGGTCCCCCCAGCTCCCACTCACCCCAGATCCCAAAGGTCCCCCCCCCCAGAGGAGAAGCAGAAGAGAGTCAGTTTCAGGGTGATGTACTCGAACATAGATGGGATCACAAGCAAGGCAAGTGAACTAAGGGAAAGAGCACAAGAAGTGAACCCAGATGTAATCGGACTCACTGAAATAAAACTCTCTGGAATCATAACGAATGCCGTGTTTCCCCAGGAGTACACAGTAATAAGGAAAGAGAGGGAAGGTAGGGGAGGAGGCAGAGTGGCCCTACTCATGAGAAAGGAATGGAGTTTTTAGGAGATGGCCATCCCGGGCTGTGAGGAGTTCAGAGACTACAGAGACTACACCATGACAATGGGAGGACCAAGAATAGTAGTAGCAGTAATATACAACCCTCCACCAAATGACAGAAGACCCAGTCAAGAGTATGAAAACAACAACATGGCAGTTAACACTATAATTAAGAGAGCAGCCTCTGCTGCCTGTAGAAATAGATCCCACCTGCTCATGATGGGCGACTTCAATCATGGAAGGATTGACTGGGAGAACAAGGAACCGCATGGAGGCGAGGATACGTGGAGAGCCAAACTATTGGAGGTGGTGACAAGAAACTTTTTAACCCAGCATGTCAAAGAACCCACAAGGATGAGAGGCAATGATGAACCAGCGAGACTCGACCTAGTCTTCACTCTGAACGACTCTGACATAAGAGAAATTGGTTTTGAGGATCCAGTAGGAATGAGCGACCAGAGTGTACTGGTGTTTGAGTACCTGATTGAAGAAGGGTTATTGAACTCGAGGAAGGATACCGAAACCAAAAGGTTAGCATACCGAAAGGGAAACTATGAGGGGATAAGAAAATTCCTAACAGATATAGCATGGGAAACAGAGCTCAGGGGAAAGACGGCCCAAGATATGATGGATTACATCACGCAGAAGTGCAAGGACGCAGCAAACAAGTTTGTCCCAGTCCAAAAGGAAAACAGAGAAATGAAGATGAGAAACCCATGGTTTAATCAGAGATGTAGGCTAGCTAAGCAGCAAAGTAAAAGGGCATGGAGAAACTATAGGAATAACAGGACACTGGAGAGCAGAGAAAGATACCAGAATGCCAGGAATGAATATGTCAGGATGAGAAGAGAGGCAGAAAGACAATACGAAAATGACATCGCAAGCAAGGCAAAGACTCAGCCTAAATTGTTGCATAGCCACATCAGGAGAAAAACAACAGTAAAGGAACAGGTTATGAAATTAAGGATAGGGGCGGAAGGATTCACTACAAATGACAAGGAAGTGTGTGAGGAATTGAATAAGAAATTCCAGGAGGTCTTCACCTTAGAGCAAGGAGAAATTCCAGAGATAAGTGAGGGAATAGCTAACCAGGAACCACTGGAAGACTTTGAGATTACCAGCGGGGAAGTAAGGAAGTGTTTACTAGAGTTGGATGTGACAAAGGCTATAGGCCCAGATGGAATCTCCCCTTGGGTTCTAAAGGAAGGAGCAAGAGAGCTGTGCCTACCACTCTCCATAGTGTATAACAAATCACTGGCAACAGGGGAACTGCCAGATATTTGGAAAGCAGCTAACGTAGTCCCGATATACAAGAAAGGGGATAGACAGGAGGCACTGAACTACAGGCCAGTGTCCCTAACCTGCATACCATGCAAGCTGATGGAGAAGATTGTGCGAAAAAAACTAGTGGAGCATCTGGAGCGAAGGAACTTTGTAACACAGCATCAACATGGGTTCAGGGATGGCAGGTCCTGCCTCACAGGGTTACTTGAATTCTACGACCAGGCAACAAAAATAAGGCAAGAAAGAGAAGGGTGGGCAGACTGCATATTTTTGGATTGTCAGAAAGCCTTTGATACAGTGCCACACAAGAGGCTAGTGCGAAAGTTGGAGATGCAGGCTGGAGTGAAAGGGAAGGTACTCCGGTGGATAGAGGAGTACCTAAGCAACAGGAGACAACGAGTCTGTGTGAGGGGTGAGGTCTCAGATTGGCGAGACGTTACAAGTGGAGTCCCGCAGGGGTCAGTCCTTGGACCTATACTGTTCTGGTATATGTAAATGATCTCCCAGAGGGTATAGATTCGTTCCTCTCAATGTTTGCCGACGATGCAAAAATTATGAGGAGGATTGAAACAGAGGATGAGAGTAGGAGGCTACAAGATGACCTAGATAGACTGAGTGAATGGTCCAACAAATGGCTGTTGAAGTTCAACCCGAGTAAATGCAAAGTAATGAAACTAGGCAGTGGAAACAGGAGGCCAGACACAGAATACAGAATAGGAGATGAAGTACTTAATGAAACAGACAGAGAGAAAGATCTAGGAGTTGATATCACACCAAACCTGTTTCCTGAAGCCCACATAAAAGAGAATAACGTCTGCGGCATATGCGAGGCTGGCTAACATCAGAACGGCGTTCAGGAACCTGTGTAAGGAATCATTCAGAATCTTGTACACCACATATGTAAGACCAATCCTGGAGTATGCGGCCCCAGCATGGAGCCCGTACCTTGTCAAGCACAAGACGAAGCTGGAAAAAGTCCAAAGGTATGCTACTAGACTAGTCCCAGAACTAAGAGGCATGAGTTATGAGGAAAGGCTGCGGGAAATGCACCTTACGACACTGGAAGACAGAAGAGTAAGGGAGGACATGATCACAACCTACAAAATCCTCAGGGGAATCGACCGGGTAAACAAGGATGAACTATTCAACACTGGAGGGACGCGAACAAGGGGACACAGGTGGAAGCTGAGTACCCAAATGAGCCACAGAGACATTAGAAAGAACTTTTTCAGTGTCAGAGTAGTTAGTAAATGGAATGCACTAGGAAGTGATGTGGTGGAGGCTGACTCCATACACAGTTTCAAATGTAGATATGATAGAGCCCAGTAGGCTCAGGAATCTGTACCCCAGTTGATTGACAGTTGAGAGGCGGGACCAAAGAGCCAAAACTCAACCCCCGCAAGCACAAATAGGTGAGTACACGCCCACACACCTGCACTTCTGGAAGGCAATAACAATACATAAAGCAGTGAGGAATAGTTCAGTGTTGCAATATTATTTTTTCAGAAATTCAATCATAAAGAAGTTAAGCTACTGAGAACCGGTGTGTAGAGTGCACTTCCACCCTCCACACCCCCCCCCCCTTAACCCCTCTCTCCCTCAGAACATCTCCCCCCCCCCTCTCTCTAACACCCCCTCAATCCTCTCTTACACAGTATCACTCTCACTACCACTCTCCCCTCACCACACACTCTCCCCCTCACTTCACACTCTCCCCCTCACCATACATTATCCCTCTCAGCTACGGAGCCACTAAATTGCATTAAAGGAACGTCGTTACCTGCCGGAGCCCCGGCTGGAACACCCGCTGTTCCATCCGGGTTCCGCGGAAACATTATCTTCTAATTCTTCAACAATTTAGATTTTACAAAAATCCAGACAACTTTAAACTCTACCTATGAACCTAAAAATTCAAGAAAATTCATAAAATAGCTTAAAAAATAGAAAATCCCATCCATTATTGAATGATTTTTCAAAAGCCAACGACACTTCCAGAAGCCTGAAATATTAAAGCTTCTGCATTCACTGGAGGCTTCCAGGAAGGCTTCCAGGATCCACAAAGAGGTTTCTGGAATAGATCAAAAGTGAAATATGCGTTGGTGGCCCGCCTGGAAAGTTTGTTTTGGAGGGACTTCAAAGTTGTGTTCTTGGAGTCTCTTGTGTTGGAGGTGTTCTTGGAGCCTCTTGTGTTGTAGGTGTTCTTGGAGCCTCTTGTGTTGGAGGTGTTCTTGGAGCCTCATGTGTTGGACGTGTTCTTGGAGCCTCTTGTGTTGTAGGTGTTCTTGGAGTCTCATGTGTTGTAGGTGTTCTTGGAGCCTCTTGTGTTGGAGGTGTTCTTGGAGCCTCTTGTGTTGTAGGTGTTCTTGGAGCCTCTTGTGTTGTAGGTGTTCTTGAAGCCTCTTGTGTTGTAGGTGTTCTTGGAGCCTCTTGTGTTGTAGGTGTTCTTGGAGCCTCTTGTGTTGGAGGTGTTCTTGGAGCCTCTTGTGTTGTAGGTGTTCTTGGAGCCTCTTGTGTTGGAGGTGTTCTTGGAGCCTCTTGTGTTGGAGGTGTTCTTGGAGCCTCTTGTGTTGTAGGTGTTCTTGGAGCCTCTTGTGTTGTAGGTGTTCTTGGAGCCTCTTGTGTTGGACGTGTTCTTGGAGCCTCCCCCTCTCACTCTTCTCACTCTCCCCTCCCCTCTCACTCAGCCTCCTGCATTTACCGGGATCAATACTGTCAGTCTTCCCGGTAGAGCCCAGGATGGTGAGGCTCACACTCTCACTCACACTCACACATGCTCACACACTCACACTCTCACTCACACATGCTCACACACACACTCACACTCTCACTTACACATGCTCACACACTCTCTCACTCACACTCACACATGCTCACACACACACTCACACTCACACATGCTCACACACACACTCACACTCTCACTCACACTCACACATGCTCACACACTCTCTCACTCACACTCACACATGCTCACACACACACTCACACTCACACATGCTCACACACACACTCACACTCTCACTCACACTCACACATGCTCACACACTCTCTCACTCACACTCACACATGCTAACACACACTCTCACTCACACTCACACATGCTCACACATTCATCTTTCCTTTTTCCTAGGAGAAATCTCACTATGGATACTAATAGAAGGAGTAGAAGCACTATGCTAGCCACTCTTCGTGTCATACAATAGGTCACTGGTAACGGAACTACCAAAAAGTTGGAAGACCGTAATGTAGTCCCAATATATCAGAAAGAAGACAGACAGAAAATGAGAAAAGTGAGAAAAATCTAACAGAACATCTGGAGAGAAGGAACATTGTTACACATCACCACCGTAGGTGATGTCCGGCAACCAGGAGGCCTGGTCGACGACCGGGCCGCGGGGATGCTAAGCCCCGGAAGCACCTCAAGGTAACCTCAAGGTAGGTTCAGAGATGGTAAATTTTGCCTCACAGGTTTAATGGAATTCTGTGACCAAGCGACAAAAAATAGATAAGAAAGATAAGGGAGAGAGGGGAGCAGATTTCCTATATTTGGATTGTCAAGAAGCCTATAACACAGTACCCCATAAGAGACCGATGCATGTACAGGAGAAGCACGCAGAGGTGACAGGGAAGGTACTGCAATGGATAAGGGAGTACCTAAGCAACAGAAAAGAACGAGTCACTGTGAGGACTCCACTAGGTGCCACTAGCGGAGTCCTGCAGAGTTCAGTGTCTGGACCCATCCTGTTGTTTCACATGTGTACGGGATCTTCAAGAGGGAGCAGACTCACTCCTCTCAATGTTTGCTGATGATGTCTTGTAGTACACTAAAGTGTTGCCTGACCTTGTAGTACACTACAGTGTTGCCTGACTTTGCAGCACACTAAAGTGTTGCCTGACCTTGCACCACACTAAAGTGTTGCCTGACCTTGCACCACACTAAAGTGTTGCCTGACCTTGCACCACACTAAAGTGTTGCCTGACCTTGTACCACACTAAAGTGTTGCCTGACCTTGCACCACACTAAAGTGTTGCCTGACCTTGCACCACACTAAAGTGTTGCCTGACCTTGCACCACACTAAAGTGTTGCCTGACCTTGCAGCACACTAAAGTGTTGCAACTTAAATACTTGTGTTGCAAGCATGCACGAGGCCTGACAGTGTGGTGGCCACCACTAAAATATTAACTAGCCACTCCTCCTGCTTCCCGGTAACCCTGCTGTAATAACACCCGGGTTATCTCTCCTATTAGTCAAGTTTCACAATGTGTCGCCTTACGTCTTCTCCCCCAGGTGGAGGGTAATTGTGCCTTAACAATGGGGTGTGGTCTTGGGAGAGGATGGTCTAGGTATGGGATGTGATCTTGGGATAGAATGAGCTAGGTATGGGGTTTGATCTTGGGATAGAATGAGCTAGGTATGGGGTGTGATCTTGGGATAGAATGATCTGGGTATGGAATATGATCTTGGGATGGAATGATCCACGTATGGGATGTGATCTTGGGATAGAGTGAGCTAGGTATGGGGTGTGATCTTGGGATAGAATGATCTGGGTATGGGGTGTGATCTTGGGATAGAGTGAGCTAGGTATGGGGTGTGATCTTGGGATAGAATAAACTAGGTATGGGATGTGATCTTGGGCTGGGAAGTGGAGAGGTGTGATGGACACCTCTACCCACCAGCTGTCGGTGGTCTGGTGCGATAATTCCCCCACTGTAATGCACTACTTATCGTAATATGTTCTTCTGAAGCTTCATGTTCTTGTAAATTTCATGTTCTTCTAAGCCTCGTGTTCTTCTAAGCTTCATGTTCTTGTAAACTTCATGTTCTTGCTTCATGTTCTTCTGAGCCTCAAGTTTCATGTTCTTCTGAGCCTCATGTTCTTCTAAGTTTCATGTTCTTCTAAGCATGCACTATCTCTCTCTCCAGTTTGTCCGTTCCATTTTGTCACTGCTCTTTTTAGTTTATTTTCAGCCATAGACATTTGCTAGTACTGACTGGTAGTTAGTATACCCCACAGTGTTGTCGTGTCCTCCGTGTACAGGGGTGGAGAAGGCTCAGTGTAGTGAAGTGTTCACCACTCGCTTACTTACGCTAAAACAAGTTGTTTGTTCACATTGTTGTTACTCGTCTTCTCCTCTAGCTGGCAGCAATGTTTCCTTCATCTGTTCTGACTTAGACTTTTCGTAATCAATCGTATTAATTTTCGTGAGGATCGTGTATGTCGTTATCATGTCCTCACTCGGCCTAGTGTGGGAAATTTGGTAGACTGTAGTGAGGGTACAGGACACATGCACCATCGCTGTACAGGAAATCTGTATTTTGCCGATTTTAAAAGTTAAGTGTTGGACGGATTCGACATGATGATTTCGTCCGTAATTTAGTGTGAATATTATTACTTGGCCTCACTATCCAATTCGACCTTGCAACCTTTAAACGATGTAACTGCTCTTGGGGACCATGGTGACCGCGCTCCCTCTATTTGGCTTCACCTTCGAGCTGGAAGCCCAGTCAGAGGTGGTCTCCCAGTCAGATGTGGTCTCCCAGAGGTGGTCTCCCAGTCAGAGGTGGTCTCCCAGTCAGAGGTGGTCTCCCAGTCAGCGATGGTCTCCCAGTCAGCAGCAGAGACTCCCGGGAGTGTTGTCAATATGCTCCACCATCATACTGAAGTGACACATGTCACAATGTCCCATGAGAGTTGTCAATTAGATTGACAGTTGAGATTTGGGACCAGGGAGCCGGAGCTCGACCCCCGCAAGCACGGCTAGGTGGATGCACGCACACACACATGCACGCACACACACACACACACCCTGCCACTAGTGGCAGGCAGCGGGTTAGAACCATCCGAGGGCACCACCGGAGGGCACCACCGAGGGCCACCACCGGCACCAGAGGGCACCACCGGAGGGCACCACCCACCGGAGGCAGACATGCGAGGCTTCACTAAGCTGTCAGGCACAACATAACTCTGATGAAAACGATTGAATATTTCATGAGCATTTGCGATGGTAAACAAGTAGACAGAAACACGCTTGTTATTTGCATGTGTCCGTCTACTGGACGTCCCTGTCTGAGCCCTGGCCCTAGTACTCCCTGTCTGAGCCCTGGCCCCAGTACTCCCTGTCTGAGCCCTGGCCCCAGTACTCCCTGTCTGAGCCCTGGCCCCAGTACTCCCTGTCTGAGCCCTGGCCCCAGTACTCCCTGTCTGAGCCCTGGCCCCCAGTACTCCCTGTCTGAGCCCTGGCCCTAGTACTCCCTGTCTGAGCCCTGGCCCTAGTCCTCCCTGTCTGAGCCCTGGCCCTAGTACTCCCTGTCTGAGCCCTGGCCCCAGTACTCCCTGTCTGAGCCCTGGCCCTAGTACTCCCTGTCTGAGCCCTGGCCCTAGTACTCCCTGTCTGAGCCCTGGCCCTAGTACTCCCTGTCTGAGCCCTGGCCCTAGTACTCCCTGTCTGAGCCCTGGCCCTAGTACTCCCTGTCTGAGCCCTGGCCCTAGTACTCCCTGTCTGAGCCCTGCCGCCCTAGTACTCCCTGTCTGAGCCTTGCTCCCAGTACCCACTGTCTGAGCCCTGCCCCCCAGTACTCCCTGTCTGAGCCCTGGCCCCAGTACTCCCTGTCTGAGCCGTGGCCCCAGTACTCCCTGTCTCAAGCCCCCCCCCCCCGACACCCCTGTTTTTTTCAGCTTCCTCTCACGCTCCTCATCACTACACTCTCCCTCATCCCTTATTCCCTTCATCACAATCCCTCCTCCAAGACATCACAATCCCTCCACCAAGATATCACAATCCCTCCACCAAGACATCACAATCCCTCCACCAAGACATCACAATCCCTCCACCAAGATATCACAATCCCTCCACCAAGACATCACAATCCCTCCACCAAGACATCACAATCCCTCCACCAAGACATCACAATCCCTCCACCAAGACATCACAATCCCTCCACCAAGACATCACAATCCCTCCACCAAGATATCACAATCCCTCCACCAAGACATCACAATCCCTCCACCAATACATCACAATCCCTCCACCAAGACATCACAATCCCTCCACCAAGACTTCACAATCCCTCCACCAAGACATCACAATCCCTCCACCAATACATCACAATCCCTCCACCAAGACATCACAATCCCTCCACCAAGATATCACAATCCCTCCACCAAGACATCACAATCCCTCCACCAATACATCACAATCCCTCCACCAAGACATCACAATCCCTCCACCAAGACATCACAATCCCTCCACCAAGACTTCACAATCCCTCCACCAAGACTTCACAATCCCTCCACCAAGACTTCACAATCCCTCCCTCTTACTCAGACCACGAGCATGGCTCTTAAGTCTTATCAAGACCTGAGTGAACAGACCATCTCTGCTATCACCAACCTGGTTATCGTCTTATCTCCTGTATCTCTGAGTCTCTGTCTCCTTTGTTCTATTAAGTACTTGCGGGGTTGTTAACGCGATAACCACGGGTGATTGTAGTCTGATTGTTCGTTGTCAATGACTAACAATTGTCCTCAAGTTATCTTATTTTATCTCAAGTTAATAAGAGACGCAGAATAACGCGTAGGCATAA